ATCCAAGACAGAGTCTTAGACCTTGGTGGTGAACAGAATCAAGTAGTTGAAGGTTGCTTTATGCAGGCTCCGCCATATACGATCGAACCATAATCAAGTTTTAGATCGTACCAATGATCGGTATAAGTGAAGGAGGGTGGTTTGATCCTCCCCACTTTGAGTTGGAAACAACTTTTAACAAATCGAGTGCCTTCAGGCATTTGGCTTTAAGTGATTTAATATGCGGCAAAAGGTTAAATGTGAGTCGAAAAATTAGACCTAAGAATTTGGCCTCCTTAACAACTTTGATGGGAGTGCCATTTACAGGATAATTCTGGATCTTTATGCGGCTTATATGTTCTACAAAAGTGTAGACAATTAGTTTTGGACTTAGAAAATTTAAAGCCGTTTTCAAGACACCATTTATGTATTTTATTTAAACACAACTGCAATTGCCGTTCAATAGTATGCATATTTTTACCACGACAAAAAATATTAAAATCATCCACAAAAGTGATCCATTGAATTGAATCGTTTAAAACCTTGGATAAACTGTTTATCTTGATACTAAACAAGGTGACAGACAAAATACTGCCTTGCGGGACACCTTGATCCTGATTGTAATGGTCAGACAGGGTTGAACCCACTCTGACTTGAAATTGCCAGTCATTTAAAAGTTGGATATAAATTGAGGCAAACGGCCTCGTAATCCAAAGTCATGTAAATCTTTTAAAATCCCATGTTTCCATGTGTCGTGTCGTATGCTTTTTCTAAGTCGAAAAGATCGACACTGCATGTGTTTATTAATTATGGCATTTTTACAAAGACTCTAAACGTACTAAATGATCGATGGTACTACGGTTTTACGGAAACCATTGTATATTAGTTATAAGGTTATTGGTTTCCAAGTACCAAAACAAGTCTATTGTTGATCATACGTTCCATGGTTTTGCAAACGCAGCTTGTCAGTGAAATTGGTCTATAATTAGAGGGATCAGTATGATCACGTCAAGGTTTAGGGATGGGCACAATTATAGCATCACGCCACGACGAAGGGAAATGTCCAGTTGTCCAAATGTCATCAAAATATGTAACAGTGTCTCCAAACATGATTCTGGCAAGTGCTTCAGGAGTTGATAATGTATGTTATCAGCTCCAGAAGCGTATCGTGAAACCTGATCAAGAGCAGTATGAAGCTCATGTATCGAAAAGGTTTCATTGTAGTCTTCCCATTATCTGAATTGGAAATTAAAGCTTTCTTTCTTGCTGTTTTGATATTTTTGGAATTCAGGTACATAATTTGCTGAGGAAGAATGTTTGGCCAACGTCTCACCAAGTTTATTTGCAATATCTGATTTACTAGTCAATAATTTGTTCCCATCTTGTAGATGGTGTATGCTAGATTTAGAGCCCTTACCCTTGATTTTCTGGATCATATTCCACACCTTTGATATAGGTGTGCGCACAATTAATTTTCGATATATAGTTTCGCCAAGATTGACGTTTACTGTGCTTGAAAGTACGTCGTGCTTTGGCGTTTAAAATTTTAAATTTGTCCAAATTATGGACCATAGGATGGCGACGGAAATAGTGCTCGGCTTTCTTCCGTGCCTTGCCTACTTCCTGTTTGCAGTCATTGGTAAACCATGGTTTCGTACGTGAAGAATTGCAGAGGACTTTGGGATACATTCGTCAGCTATGTTATTTAGTTCATCTGAAAAACCTTTCATGGCATCAGGAATATCATTAAAAGTTCAGGTTTGAGTTTGTCAGCACAGAGAGCTTCATATAAAAGGCCAGTTAGCCTTTTTAAAATTCCATCTTGAATATGGAGGAACATCAGATGGATTCACAGGTGTCAGTATTGTTGGGAAATGGTCACTTCCACAGAGGTCGTCGTGGACTGACCATTCAAATTCACTCAATAGGTTAGAATCAGTAATAGACAAATCAAAAGAGCTGAATATGTTCCTGTGCCAGGATGTAAATACATAGTTGAGCCGTCATTATAAATGCATAAATCATTATGTGAAATGAAATCCTCCAGTAATTTACCTTTGGTGGTGTTTGTATGAGTGCCACCCCAGAGTGGGTTGTGGCCATTTAAATCCCCATGATTAAACAGGGTTTAGGTAACTGATCATAAAGAGCTTGCAGATCAGCCAATTGAAGAGATGACGAAGGTGAAATGTATAAAGAGCACAAAGTAAATGCGACGTGCAAAGTAAGCCGTACTGCTACTGCTTGGAGATTTGTTTTAAGTGTAACTGGGCTATGTATTACATGGTGCTTTACCAGTATAGATGATCCTCCAGTGGCCCTATCGCCAGGAGGAGAAAAACAATGATAGGCATTATAATGACGTATATCAAAATTATCAGTCTGCTTTAAGTAAAGTTTCCTGTAAGCAGAATGCTGACGGGTTAACGTCCTGGACTAATAGTTGTAGATCGTTAAAATTTGTTCTCAGTCCTCTACAATTCCATTGTATTAAAGGTGACGAAGTTATGACTTAGGCGGATGAACAGGTGATCGACCCTCACCTTTCGTGAAGGTGACAAGCTATGTGTCCGACAATGGCTGGTGTCTGACACATCCATCTCATCAAGTGATCCAAACTTATTAAACAGCTGGACCTGATTCTTAGCCCTTTTAGGGGTTCTACCACTTTGGTTCCTTTTGAAGTGTCAGTTTTAGATTTAGGTCTATTTTTCGCAATATGTTTCACAGTTGTTTCTGATGTAGACTGCTGAGCTGGTTGTGATGACGGCTGTGTCTCACAGAAAAGACGAATCCTTATCACAAGATTCCTGAGAATGAAGAAGAACCGTTTGTGAGCTAGAGGTCTCTTTTGAAGGCGTCACTGTGACTGCAGCAGATAATAATGTAGGGGCAGTTGTCTTCGCCCATGTGTGTAATCGGTCTGGCAAGCTATGGTTTTAAAGGAGATATTTTGGGGCTTTGATACCGCAAGTGGAGCGGATGCAACATGTGCAAATGTTGGCCCAGGTTGTTCTTGCGCAAGAACGATTCTCTTCGCTTCTAGAAAGCTTATATTACGGTCATGCTTGACTTGTGAGATTTTTAGACTGCAATTTCCACGAGGGACATTCCTTGGAAGAGGAGGGATGGTTACCCGAACAGTTAACACAAGAAGCAGATTTATCACATAATTTGCTATCCTCGCAAGTTCCACCATCGATGGCAAGCAGCAGGATTTCGACAGGATTTTGATCCATGACCGTATTTCTGACAATTGTAACATCTCAAGGGATTAGGGATGAAAGCATTCACCCTCAGGTTACAATAGCCAGCTTTAAGTGATTCTGGACGATTTGGCAGACCAAATGTAAACAAATAGGTGTTGGTATTTACAATGTCATTGTTTTCTTTTGAATGTAAAACGTTTTACATCAGTGACTCCTTGTGATGTCAATTCTGACAGAATTTCTGTTTTCAGACATGTCCGAGAGGCAACGTATGGCATCACGGACAATGCCTTTACTGAAGTTCAATGTCCTGTGAGGGAAACCTGAACAGGAACATTAGCTAGTGTTTTAGTTGAAGAAGAATTTTTGATTGTATTTGTTTTCTACAATCAATCAAAAGGCAGCCAGAACGGAGCTTTTTTAACCGCCTTCACCTCTCCAACTAAACCTTCAATACCCTTTGCTATGGCAAAGGATTCAACTTGAGGGGATTTCCATCTGTGGCAGACATGACCAGAAATCTAGACCAGTTCTCTGGATTCAGTTGAGGCGTTGAAGCCTTCATCCTCTGATGAGAAGGAATCTTCAGGTTCATGTGAACGTTTTTTTGTAAGGGGTGCCATGTTAGTAGTAAGTATGTTTCATCCATCTGGCTCCCACCCACCATGGAGTGACAACAAGGACGATGCCTTACATCTGTGGATCTCCAACAGATGGCACCAAGGATACCAGATGGATATACTCCAAGTAGAAAAAATATCTTGAAAAGACATATTCTACCAGATTGGCCCATGAGCCATCGCCTTCTGGGCATTGAAGACTAAGGCAAAATAATAAATCTATATTGAACATTTTGCAAAGAGTAATTTTGAAGAAATTAAGGCCAAGACAGTTCTTTGAAACGTTAATGAAGTAGTTATAGATATATTCAGTACAATTTCAAACACACAGGGCTTGGCATGACCAGCCGATTGGTTGAACCGGGCCCATTCAACCACCCGTCTAGGTGAAGTCAGGGCCGAAGTGGTGTGTTGGGCAAAGGAACACTGTTCCTGGAACCAGTGCCCTCAACCACCAGAATCCCTTCCTCCACCGACACAGGGGCGCAACCCACGGCAAACGGGTTGGTGGACCATATATCCCCCCAGGTCCACAACGGGGGTGAAGGGCGCTTAGCGTGACCCAGCACCCACCACGAGGAGGTGGCCCTTCATGGGTGCCTGAAGTGGAAGAAGAGTGAAAAGTGAAAGGAATGTGTGAAGTGGAAGGAGAGTGAAAAGCGAAAGGAATGTGTGAAGTGTGTATTGGAAGGAGGGCTTATAGCAAAAGGATTGTATGTAGCGGAAGGGTTGCGAAAAGTGAACGGATTCTGTGTAGCGGAAGGTGTGTGAAAAGCAAAAGGATTGTTTGTAGTAGAAGGAATGCTTACAGTGAAAGTATTGTGTGTAGCGGAAGGAGTGTGAAAACCGAAAGGATTGTGTGAAGCAGAAGGAATGCTTATAGTGAAAGTATTCTGTGTAGAGGAAGGAGTGTGAAAAGTGAAAGGATTGTTTGTAGTAGAAGGAATGCTTATAGTGAAAGGATTGTGAGAAGCGGAAGGAGGGCAAAAAACAAAAGGATTGCGTGAAGCGGAAGGAATGATTATAGCGAAAGTTTTGTGTGTGTAGCGGAAGGAGAGTGTGTAGCATAAGGATTATGAGTAGCGGAAAGAGTGCTAAAAGTGAAAGGATTGTGTGTGTAGTGAAAGGATTATGCGTAATGGAAGTAGTTTACAGGTAATGTACTGATTCATTTGTATTCGTGGTCTTGTAGGCATCATTATGGCGATAGCTTTCCTTGGACCAGCTGTTGCGCTCAGTCTTGGTGGATGGCTCAGTGACGTTCCCATTGATCTAAGCGGTTGGTTATGTGTTTGCATTAACTAGTGCATAGTAATTCCATTCAATCTTTTTTTACAATAACGTTTTACAAGGAATACCAACTCACGACTTTTTATTCAAATAAAGGTTTTGTATTTATGGGACTTACCCACTTTTTGTCTTACATTATTGGAATTTATGTTCTTCACGCCATATTAGCACAACACATTTTTATAAAATATATACTCCTTGTATGGTTTGGTTTCAAGAGTCCAAGTTAGACAGCCTTCACCCCCAGTGGATTGGTGCATGGTGGATCGGATACCTGATCATTGGATGTGCAGAAGTTTTCTCTATCCGTGAGCTACATTCAGCTCTTAGGGCAAGCCCACGACACTGCTACCATATATTTAAAACTGACAATCAATGCATTTTTCCAGATTGAAATTAACCTTACTGTTTGTCTTTAGAAATTTCACGAGAAAATGATTATAGTCGCCGTATATGGGTTGAAATTCTGCCGATTTGGAGAGAAACACTTTTTAACTCACTCCACTTTGACTCATTATCATATATCAGCAAACAGCAAAGGAAATGTGATGCGAGTAACAAATCATTATTCCTAAAAATCCGCTAGCACTAAAAATAGTATTCCGTATCCAAATGCAGGGAATTACAACTGCAGAACAAATTGAAAGGCAGCAGAGATATAGACCTAGTAATTGTTGCAATAAGGAACCAATGTTGGAAAATATTCCACAATATTCCAGTTTTCAAAGAATAGGCACAGGGTGAGTATCCAGTTCTCTCTACCGAATGTGCACAGAAATAAGATAATACAGTTAATAATAGGCGGCGGTTGCCGATTACACGCGAAGATTACCGATCGACGCCAAGTAAAGTACGTATAAGTGCCGAGTAAGACGCGTAACATCAGCCTCCAAACCACAAAATTGTTCCGATTCTGGGCTATAAAGCTGACGATGACAGCCGATTCTTATTATCTAGCAACATGCTCACAGCTGCACAACTACTTTTTCTGCTGCAACAACATATGGGATTGGCGATAGATATCTATCAATACAAAAGGAAGCAGGCACCAAAAAGAAGAAAACAGAACCTTTTTTTTGGGTACGTCCGTGGTTGAGGGTGGAAAGAAGATTTAACTTTGGAAACTATGGCAATCTCCTATATGAACTCAGATTCGAAAACACGTCTTCTTTCTTCAACCATCTGCGGATGCCTCCTGATATGTTTGATGAACTGCTTAATTCCCTGTATCCCAGACTTAGCAAAAAAGACACCAACTTCAGGTAAGTTCTGCACCCTGGTCTGATGTTAGCAGTTACCATACGGCCCCCAGCCTCTGCCACAAGTTACTCCTCCTTCTCCTACCACTTCAGACACACCATAACCATCTTTTCCAAGAGGTGTGCCAAGCCATCGTAGACCACTACAAGGATACAGTAATTGCATGTCCTGTCACCCAAGGGGATTGGAAGACCATCAGTCTGGAATTTGAGCAGAGATGGAATCTCCCTCATGCTGTTGGTGCCCTCGATGGAAAACACATCGCGATTCGTAAGCCACCTGGTAGTGGAAGCCTCTGCCACAACTACAAGGTTTCTTCTCCATTGTCCTGTTGGCCCTTGTAGAGGATATTTACAGATTTCTATGGGTGGACGTCGGAGGCCTGGGTCATATGTCAGATGCACAAATCTTCAATGCCTCAGAGTTCAAGGAGTGTATATAAGATGGCAGCAGATGCTTGCCCGAACCTGAACCATTGCCAAATGATGATCTGGATATGCCTATCGTCATACTTGCAGATGATGCATTTGCCCTTCGTCAATATCTAATGAAACCCTACTCAAGAAGGTCTGTCAGAAGTTGAACTGATTGCCAACTACAGGATTTCCAGAGTCGTGGAGAATGCCTTTGGTATTCTTACCAAATCGATGGCAATTTCTTCTCAACACTTCGCAACAGGATCCAGATGTGGTTATGATTATGGTTGAAGCTGCCGTGTGCATCCTGGTTGTCATCTGGTGGTAGGGTGGGTGATCTCACCTCTTCCTGTTGGCTGTTCTTCTTTGTTCTTGTCATGTTTCCATAACAGCAGCTGAAATTGGAGTGAAGTTCAATTGGACTTCCATCGCCGATGCTTTTATACCTTTTCTGCCAGTCTGATGTAAATCGTGCAAAACGTGAAGATTACGTAACCGGATCGTGTCTTATTTGGAGTAATCGTGCTGATGCGTGGATTTGACAGCTCTGTTTTGATAGGCAATTAGCTTGTCAGTTCCATGTTGGGGATGCGTCGGGAGTTAATCGTGGTTGATCGGATGTGAAGCGTGGCATTACGGGGATGACACGTGGCCGTTTCTGTCTCTCAATAATGGTACGAGTCCTTCACGCTTCACCAACGGTTAAGCCGATTGCTCATGATGCTTGCCGATGCATTCCCGATGAACTCCCGACACACTGGCGACTATCCCGATCAGTCACGCTTAACTTACGACTTTTTTCAATCGGCTCATGTTTTTGTACCTGTTCAAAACTTTAGCCGATTCAAAAATCACTTCCAGACTATGCAGACACACACGTATCTTGCTGATCTCTGCCGACTACTCCACGTATACTACCGACATTATACGATCGCTGACGATTTAAAAAAAAATGCAATCGGGACCGATCGCAGCCCAGTGAAATGGGGGTATAACCCAGGCGCTAAGGCTGCAAGTGCAGTATTCTGCATAGTATCTTGCCTTATCAAAGCAAGATAAGACAATTTAATAGTAGGCTTATAATGTGATTGTACTATGCATATATGCAATAACTGGATGGTGTTTCCAGGCTGTGACATGTCATGTTAGAATGATGAATGTAATGAATAAAACTGGTATCCAATCGGCTATTCCCTTGCACAAACAAGGTAACAAACAAAGACTGAATCATGTTTCTTTGTGTTTTGAAATTGTCTGAAAACTGGAGTGTCTGAAGTGTAGGGCGATATGACGGAGATGCCGATATTGTTACTTTCACGTGCGTTGCAGTTCATGGGTCCAGCGTTTCGCAGGTTCAAATGTAAGGGTACTGTTACCCGGCTCGTTATGGTATAACAAGTTTGAATCCTTAAAATAGAACGTAGAATTCCTGAAAGTCAATGATCAGTCAAGGAGATGTTTCAACATTTAATGTGAGGTCAAGTGTGTCATTCATAAATACATATACATAAAAGATATTCAAACAATAATCTAATATACACATTTTGATGGGGAATTAGCATCTCAAACGGTAGAGCTTGTATGTATAACAGTTATAATATTTCTTCTTTCAACCTAACATCAAATAATAAGTATAATCATTCATACAAATCATTTCAACAAATATCACAATTATGCCTCAGCTGTCGTTATATAAGACATATATAAATGATATTTGCCATTGAACCAAATATTTACTTTAGTTCACTATCAGCATGATAATGATGTAAAGTACATCTAATATGTCCATACATGAGTGCAATACAGGCACAACTAATCCATGACAGCACATCTAGTTCACTTACATATTCAATAACGACTTGAGATATTATGCATGACAATGTTCTTGCAAAACAAAAATATACACATGATATTGCCACTTTCTATTCATAAATACTACTTTTCAGTCATGACATTATCTGACACAATTCGTAGAGTTGTACCAAAGAACTTACCTTAAATTAGAATGTACAGTTCCTTAAAGTCAATGATCAGTCCAGGAGATGTTTCAACATTTATTGTGAGGTCAAGTGTGCCAATCGGAAATCACTGACCTCTTTTTATAGCCGAAAACATCGCTGATCAATGTTGGAATTCTTTGCGATTGGCCAAAACATATAATAGGGTAATTACGATTTGGGTTGTTTGACATAGATCAGATATTTTTACAAACAGTTACTGATTGGACAAGCCGAAACGAGTTTTGGAGTGGAAGTCACGTGACCGTGACAGGATAATTGCATCAGCTTAATTACGGTTTGTATTACAACCCTTGTCTGGATTAGGTTTTATGGCTGACGTCACATGACCGTGTCACAATGGTAATTGGCGTCAATTAGATGAGATTTATTGCAGTGTGTTTATACATTTGTGGCCTGGACGTCTGCACGGTGGTCATTAAGAAATTTACTGGTGCAATAAACAATGGATTGAGTTTTAAGTTGACACTTTCAATGGTATATGGCTTATGTCAATTATCTTTGCGAAGTGCGTTACATCAGCTGGAGCCATGACATGAAGTGACGTTTCAATATTACAACTCTTCAAAATGAAAGTGAAATTTGTGGCAAAGACATACATAATACATACATACAGAAAAATATACATATATGAAGAATATAAGGATAAATTGTGCACTGTCACAGTACTTTTAGGTTTGTAAGCTGGAAAGTTCTGTCACACCTGAGCATTTGTAATCTGCTGCCTTATCGCGCTGTCATGCACGAGTACCTGTAACATGTTATGTAAACCCACTGTATAGCGAGCTCAAATTGCAGTCCTTTTCATCGTGGAGAGGTTTGACATTGCATTACTGGGCTCTGTTTTCTAATCTCTTTCATCTTACGACTTGTGATTCTCTAGTAAGTCGATGAGAGGGATTGAAAGACGATAGCTTTTGTTCCCGGGGTACGGACATTGCATGAAACGAATCGTCTGTGTGGACCATGTGCAATTTTAGTATGAATACTCTTGCTACTCGATACAAATGAGCTCAGGCAAAAACATATTGAATGTTCACATTTAAAAGCTTCCCCATAGATATTCTCAATGCATTGCTTAACGAGAGCAAGAGAACGGAAGGTTTAGTGGGGCAATAGAAAGCTGTTGATAAAAATAAAACCGATCCATACAATAAATAAATTATCAGCGAGAATATTTCGACTGCAATAAACAGCTCCACAACCCAAGCCCTTGAAGTCGAGTTAGAACACCTTCGTCACGTCTTCATAAATGTGTTAGGATCTACACCGAAACGTCGCATCCACTGAAAAGAAAGAAGTTGTATATCCATAAAAAGTGTTCCTCTTTATCATACCAGCTTCTAAATGCCACGTAAGGAAGTTCACCACTTCGTGAATCAAACTCGCATGCTTATGGTGTGTGACTCGGCTAGTTGCTTGGAGTGAAAGAATAGAGTAGAGGAGCTTGTTTACAGGTCCTGCTGTCTCGGGCAGGAGCATGCAGATGACGTATATGAAATACCCGGATGTAGCGTCCCTGTGCAGAACGTGACAGCTCGGGTGACTGGTACAGATATACAGGTAAGCGTTTTGAATGGTTATGAGCGCATGCATGTTGGCTTGTAATCAGGAATGCTCTATTACATATACCAGAGGACTTGTAATCTGCAGTCTTATCGCATTGTAATGTACGAGCACCTGTGACACGCTATGTACGTCTTCCTCTACCAGCAAATGCTGTACATTTCCGAGGATGTTACTTTCACATCCGTGGATAATATCTTCATCTCTATGTGAAATGGATATATTTGTATTCACATAGTAGCAGTGTAACATTTCGCTTTACATATGTACTTATGTATCGGATATGTAACATTTGTCCCTATGCTAAAAAAGAAAAAGAAAACAAAGTAGGTTGGTCCTGCTGTGTTTAGAAATACGATTGTTTTCCCCGCCTATGTTCCTTCTCCACTCGGAGTGCAAATATTGCAAATCAATTCTATCATGGGGACCATATGCACTTATTGTAGGAATGCACAGTCAAAACCTGTTTAACGAGAGGAAGTGAAAGTTCAGTTCAGTGGGGCAACCTATAGCTGCAGATAAATAAAGCTACATACAGCAGTGCATCTCCTATGATCACTCACCGGGTGCTGTTGGTAGAACGCTATCATGATTGAACGTATTGTTTGTGTAACGTCCTCAAGGACACACACACACACACACACACACACACACACACACACACACACACACACACACACACACACACACACACACACACACGACCACCACCACCACACACAATACATACATACATACACACAAACATACATACATACACACACATACATACACACACACACACACACACACACACATACATACATACATACATACATACATACATACATACATACATACATACATACATACATACATACATACATACATACATACATACATACATACATACATATACTAGCCACATAAAGAAACTGTGCATTGTGAAAATATGATCCCAGTTGATAAGTACGATAACAATGTCAAAGGTACATATAAACTTTAATGGAGGGATCATGAGACCATAACAAGTCGGGAGAATTGCAATTGAAAAGTCAATCACAATGACGTCACGAGTCCACAAGCGGGACAGGGGTCAAACGACCATGTCACAAGCTCAATAACGGGTATGTCCACCATCCCCATTGAGAACAGCAGTGCCTCGACGTCGCATAGAGCCTATCAAACGTGCAAGGAAGGCTTGTGGAATGTCACGCCAGATTCTCTCAAGTTCTGTTGCAAGGTCAAGGACGTTATCTGGCGGATGAGGAAGACGGCGTAGACGTCGATCCATCTCGTCCCAAACATGCTCTATCGGGGAGAGATCCGGTGAATTTGCAGGCCAAGGCAGTAAGTCAACGTTGTGGTGTTGCAAGAAATCCATAGAAACCCTTGCCGTATGAGGGCGGGCATTGTCCTGTTGGAATGTTAACCCAGGGCCATGACGTTTCAGAAAAGGAATTGCCACAGGTCGAAGAATCTGATCCCTGTAGCCCACACCAGTTAAGTTGCCCTGAACAATCACCAAAGGAGTTCTTTGGCCTGCTGTTATTCCACCCCAAATCATCACGGAACCACCACCAAAGCGATTCCTCTCCAAGACACAGGCCTGTGCATAACGTTCTTCCACGCGTCTATAGGCACGTTGACGTCCATCACTATGGGAACTGTTAAACCTGGACTCATCTGTAAAAACAACATTTCAACACCAAAACAAGGGTCTGCGGACATGATTTCGGCACCACATTCGGCGAGCTTGTCGATGACGTTGTGTCAGGATAGGCCGTATGGCGGGACGTCGTGGTCTGATCCCGTGATGACGTAAACGTTGTCGAACTGTGTTGGTGTGGATACGGCGAAGTCCTGGGATGGTACGGGCAGTCATCACTGCAGTCTGAAACCTGTGGCGAAGATGTGTCACCCTTATCCATATGTCCTGTCTTGGCGCTGTTACACGTGGACGTCCAGAACGTGGCCGATCGATGACGTCATTTGTGTTCTGGTAGCGTCTCACCAATGCAGAAATGGTGTTCCGGTGGCAGTGGAAATGTGCAGCCACTTGTCGTTGAGACATTCCCCCACGGACCATCCCAATGGCCTCATGACGTTGTGCAGAAGTGAGCCTTGGCATGCTATGCGTTTCAATAGCCGTTTTTGAACGATCGCAAGGGCAGGGGTTGAGCTTTCCAAAGTGACAGTATTGTGTGGCATTCATTTGCTCTGTTTCTCTTTCCCGGAATGCACGTGCAACAACGTATTGCACGTCTCAAGGACGAACCCACTGACGTCACGGAACGTGGCACGTGCCTGCATGTTGGATACATGTCACTAATCTCTGAGTTTAAATCCTTATGTCTCTACACAGGTTTGATAAATTTAGATTTTAAATTTGTGTATGCACAGTTTCTTTATGTGCCTAGTATACATACATAAACCTCAATTGCCAAGGACATGTATCATTAACACAATAAGTATGTTGACCTACATTTTTGCAGTAACCGATGTGCATCTGACGGTACATAGCCGAAGGCATCTATGTCAACCCTATGCTTAACTTAATTGGAATAATGAGTGAAGTGGAAGTTAGTAATGTATGCAAATCCCGATTGCCCCATGTCTATAGAGCATGCTGCACAAGTGGTGTAATGTGAAGCCAGTTTGTTTGAGAACCATCAAGCCCTAACCTTGTGGTTGTTCGTGTGCAGGCAGTCAATGTGTTGCATGGCCCCTAAGCGATTATTTACATCATAGTCGAGTGCTGTTAAGCAACAAACAATCTCAAATTTCTGAATAACACAAAACTGGCCATCCGGCAAGAAAACGGGCACTCAGTGATATCTATGCTATTTTCCCCACGAGCGGTAAGTCCATATATAGAGAAATTGCGTCGTTGATTTGTCTGTTTTCCAATAAGATCTCGCTTCAGTACATGTCCTTTCATCTGTCGATCAGGCAGTAGATATTCAAGATGGAGAAGAACTGCGTGAGTGTCAACGACAAGACTGAGTCTGGAGGACGTCGACGACGGTGTTTCAACAACATCCTCTGGTTTACTGCCGTATTTAGTGTGTCGTCACTGGTGCTGGAATCAGTCAAGTCCTACACATCATCACAGATCACAGCACTGGAGAAACAGTTTGGACTCAGCAGTACAAAAAGTGGCCTCCTAATGAGCTGCAACGAAATCGGTTATCTTGTAGCTATTTTCTTCTTCAGCCATTTTGGGGGAAACCGCTTTATACCTAGGATCCTGTCCTGTACAGTGGCTTTGTTTGGTTTTGCTTGCTCAATGTCGGGCCTCTTACACGTCATGGATCCTGTATCGCTCCCTTCTTTAGATGATCTTGCCTCCAACTATTCCTCTCCACAAGGTGCCAGATTGTGTCAGGATTCCGTACAGGAACATGAGCGGTGTCCAGCCACGAAGGACCAAGCGACTGACAACGGACGTTGGGTGTACAGTGTGCTTGCCGTGCTTATGGTGTTACAAGGAGTGGGTAAATCCCCACGGTTTTCCCTGGGTTTACCGTACGTTGAAAATAATTCCCGCGACAAACAGCAGTCGAGTTTACTGACAGGTACGTTCTCAGGTCTTACATGATGTGAAGGGGAGAGTTTAGAAGATGTGTGTAAACATAAATATTTTGATTCATGATGCAATAGAGAAAAAACATCATTCTTTGTAAAGTGGAAGTTTGTATGTAATCCAAATGAAACCTTTTGGTATCTGATTAGAAGACGTAGTGCATGTATAAAAAATGTGTTTGTAGATCGCGGGTTTCAAAAGGTATCGCATGTGAGTGTAGTGGAAGGAGCGTGTGTAGCAGAAGCATTGTGTGTGGCGCAATTAGTGTGAGTAGCGGAAGGAGAGTGTGTAGTTGAAGTAGCGTATGAAGTGGAAGCAGTGTGTGTAGTGGAAGTAGTGTGTCTAGTGGAAAGTAGTGTGTGTTGTAAAAGTAGTGTGTGTAGTGGAAGTAGCGTGTGTAGTTGAAGTAGTGTGTGTAGTGGAAGTAGTGAGTATAGTGGCAGTAGCTTGTGTAGTGGAAGCAGTGTGTGTAGTGGAAGTAGTGTGTGTCATAGAAGTAGTGGTATTGTGGAAGTAGTGTGTGTAGTGGAAGTAGTGAGTATTGTGGAAGTAGTGTGTGTAGTGGAAGTAGTGTGTGCAGTGGAAGTAGTGTGTGTAGTGGAAGTAGTGTGTGTAAAGGCAGTGGTGTGTGTAGTGGAAGTTGTGGGTCTTGTGGACGTACTGTAAGTAGTGGAAGTAGTGTGTGTAAAGGTAGTAGTGGGTATTGTGGAAATATTGTGTGTAGTGGTAGTAGTGTGTGTAGTGGAAGCAGCGTTTATAGTGGAAGTGGTGTGTCTAATGGAAGGTGCGTGTGTAGTGTCAGCAGTGTGTGTAGTGGAAGCAGTGTATGTAGTCGAAGTAGTGTGTGTAGTGGAAGCAGTGTCTATTGTGGAAGTAGTGCATGTGGAGGAAGTAGTGTGTACAGTTGAAGTGGTGTGTGTAGTAGAAATATTCTGTGTAGTGGAACGAGCGTGTGTAGCCTAAGGCATGTGTAGTGAAAGAAGTGTGTGTAGTGGAAGGAGACAGTACAGCGGAAGGATTGTGTGTATCGAAAAAAGTAGTTTAGGGAATGGTGACACGATGACGGGTCCCTATGAGTGATTTTTTTGCCCCTGCCGGAGTAACAAATATGGGTGAAATGATGACGGTTCATCATTCGGCGCCCATGAAATTATAATTGAAAAAACCGTATTAGAGCTAGGATATTGTTATAAGTATAACGAAAAATTGGATTGGTATGGAATAGTGTATGGATTCCTGAGAGCTAAGCGTACTGAAAAAATATCAGTCATAGCGGGAAGAGAGACAGACATACTAGGTTGGTATAAGTGGGCAGGGCAAAGATTCAGTAGAGTTGTGCTTAAAGATGGGACCGTTGTTTGGGCAAACCAAACATTGGAGCTTGCGTTAAAGGAGAAGTCTCACTATACGGAATCGTTAGGAATCATACGGAATCATTAGCTGGATAACGAGAGACATGGGCAAGTTCGACACCGGATATAGAGTTAGCGTAGAACCAGCCTAAACTTTCAGGGAATTTGGAAAACCATAGCTTGGTATCCGACCACTTTAACGGTTTTAGTGAATACAATAAAACCATCGGATTATTGTATAGATTTACATTGATATCAGCGTTATTCTCCTACGATTTCTCTGGTTTTGGAAAGGAATGCTTGCCGCGCCTGTTGCCTGCCCTGTTCGATAAGCTTTTTTTTCTCCTATTCCCCGATGTCGCTCATCTTGTGAGACTTGGTTCGAATTTTTTGTTTCATTCCGTGCTATTTGGCGAGTTCTTCTAACACCAAACAGAACTCTTCCTTCGTGATCTTGCTATCAGCGAGCGCTGTCGATATGTGATCCTTGATTGTGTTCAGCTTGGCTTTCAGCTAAAACCCTAATCTCATCATGCTTCAATGCGTTATGTTGCAGCCAGCATGAACGACGGGTGTGGCTATGATAGTCGACAATAAGCCGACGCCGGCAGCACCGAGTTCCATGACTAGTGCGGTGTCTATACCATCGATGGCATTCACTGCTCTATGATACTTTTTATGCAATCCTAGTCGCACGTCACATTCTTTTTCCAGTTGACGTTTGACGTCGCTTATTTGTTGCAAACGAAATGTGTCCACGGTTTCGAGTGTTTTGACCACTTCGTCCATGGCCGGATACAATCCCATCCTATATAATATAAGTTAGGAAATACTATTTAATTGGTTTTCCGTCAATCTCTTGTGCGTATACTTTACGCTGATAAGGTAATATGTTTGAATAAATATACAATACTTAGTGAAATGGGAGACTCTATATTTGAAAGAGCATGATCCCCTCGAGGTCTGTTCCTGGTTGTACATAAATACGGCAACATCGACTTTTATGTACATGTATATCACTCCAACGTATTTTTAACCCATCCAGAATTTTAATATCTTCTGTGGTGATATTTAAAAGAAAGACTTCAATGATAAGTGTAGAACCTTGTATAACATTTATCCACGATTCTGGGGTAGAATAATGTTTATTAATTATGAAATATAAACAATTTATCTGTGTTATCCGGACGGGTGAATAACATATTGCATGTTTGGTCTAGAAATGTTGATACGTACGTCGCCCTGTTGTAAGGTTTTAAACCCCTCAAACCCCTCATCATGACAAACCCCTCATCATTCACAACGATATTTGGGTAGGTAAGGATAATATTGATTATCCCGTTCAGTTCGAGTATCTCTTCTCGTCGTTTGTACACGTTTTGTAACTGCAAGGTGCACATACCGGGTTGATCGCGCGTGTGCCCGAGATTGGAGAGTGCTAGTGTAGTGCGTTTTGCAATGTCCATCGTTATATGATAATTTTATAAAATAGTTTTCAATTGGATTTCCATCAGTATTTCGTGCGTAAACTTCAGGCTGATGAGATGTATATTCGTGGGTAAGAAAATTTTGCCGAGTTAAATATTATTCTCCATGGTGACATTAACGCCCTCGAGACTTGCATAAGCCGTCGTGCTTCTCTGTAAGTAAATCGTGCAAACGAGATGTTTATGCTTTTCAGCCCAATGGAGTTTGACTCCCGTCACGATTTTGACCTCATCATCGGATGGTTGCTCTCTGAGAAATACTTTGATTGTATCGAGTGTTGCTGACGAGTCCATCCATAATCTGGACATCGTCTCTTAGGTTACTAGAAGTAGCACCATCGTCATGCACTTCGCTGCGTTTGTACACGTTGTTTTTCAGTTGCAAGGCATACAGCTTGCCTTTGACTCCATGTTCGTCAAATCCTCGCGTGTCCCTCAGGTCCGAGGTCGTCTACGTTGCTTTCGGGGACCCGAAGTGTGTGCCATTGTTTTATGTATAGTGTTGTGCTGAGACATCTTATGAGTATTGGTTCGTGTTTTATATCTAAAACAGATATTTTTAATTCCGTGATTGTGCCTTAGTTTAATTTCTTGTACTGCAAGGACGAAAACGATTTGGTTCTGCCGTCGTTGTAGTTTTTTTTTGACCGGAATGGCTATCAGCAGTGTCGAAGGCCTTTCGCCTTGAATGTTATCAGTCATGCTGATCTGATGGAGATGAATGCACACCTTGTGATAGGGAACTAGGTCGGGCAGTTTAGAGGCCATCACAGTGGTTTGCGGTGGTATATCGTTTGACATCAACCCGAGCGCATTTTACCGTTCGTGCCATTGCAATCGTTCAGTTTGAGTTCGGCTACCAGAGGATTGAAGTTTCCGTCGTTGAGCGAGCACAGTAACCGTCAGTCAGAATGTGTCGCTGTTTGTTCACCAAGAGTTTGTTGTTGTTGTCATCGATGTTAGTCCATCGCGGATAACATGTGATATCGCAGAGAGCTACCCTCGGGTTGACCCAAAGTGTTATTGATCGTGTGCAGCAGTTGAACGGGCTCGCCGCTGTGTATTCCCGGCAGCATCACGTACCTGTTGAAAACAAATACAAATAATTACCATAATAATATTTCACATGTTGTTTTATTCATCGACAGGGTGTGGTGTGACTTTGTACGATACTCATTATGATCTGTTCAGTCAGTCATTCTTTCGTTTCACATGTACTACTAGATCAGGTGCATCTTGAAAGAAATTAGCGCACTGACAGGGTGTGGAGTGCCGTGAACAATTTGTACGATCGGTGTGCGTACAAACCTATTTGCAATGAATTGGAACTCGATTCGAAGATGGCATTTGCCGGGTGTGAACCACAGTTTGGGTATTCCCATCGTCCACAATGTGGTGGATGGAAGCCAGCAAACTGCAGACAAAATTCAGCAGGGACCGAGAAGGTGATTGGAAAAAATTGATGTTGGATTCGTTGATCAAAGGGTTTTCTCGCGTGGGTGTCGTCAGACTGAACGATTCGATTCGCACCTACATGTGGGCTGTTATCGGCGTGCAGGCTCAAACGCTTTCCAGCAACATGTCTTATGATGCGAGAAACAATCCGTGCCCAAAGTTGAGGATTCAATCGCGGTCGCCGGTGAATTTACCGACGGCCATCAAGCAATACAAAAACATGTTGGAGAATGCCATGTCTAAAGTCGTCTATGTTTTCGGCGTAGGGTTGTTCATGGCCACGAGTGACATGAGTCTGAGGATCGATAAAGTGTTGGGATACAATAATGTAATTGTCATCGCCACCAGCGATCAGACACTAGGAATGAATCTCGCCGTGAATGCGAGTCACGTTGTGCCGACTCACACCGGTGAAACGGGCAAAGTGGTACCACCACAACAACCGAAGCCAAGCAGTGTTCAAATGCAGACACCGTCAGGCGCAGTGGCAGCAGTGGCAGATAATTAGCGACATGTTGATCACAAGACGGTGGTCGTGGACGGTGGGATCACGGTCAGACTGTGCCTCATTTGTTTAAAAGTTCCTTAGCAGCGACGTACACTACGCCTGCCACGGCGACGATGAACATCCACAGGTTTTGACCAAGCCACATTGTCGTTTTCGACAGCAAGACCAGCAGCCACGATATGATGCTGGCTAGAATGCCCGGCAGTGCTTTGGCGGCTTTGCCAGCTTGTCTCGTGAGTGCTTCTCCGAGATTTCAGATGTTTTTATCCAGTCTCATGCCACTGCTATGTGGTGTTGGGGACTGCTGGGTGGTAGCTGATATGATGAAGCCGAAGCGCGGTCAGAATGCTGGCAATGGTGATCCTTCATTCTCGGAACAGAGTACGGATCCTGTCGGCCAATGTGGTGTCTTGTAAGCGTTTGTTCCAGTACAGTCCATCTGATGCTTCTTGTGCACGTTGCGTCAAGTCTTTCTGATCGTCTCTGGCGATTGTGCTCGCTGTGGCATCATACTCAGTCTGCATGGTTTGCAGATCTTTCGCCGACTTCAGCGAAAGCTTGGATCGTTTGCCATTGTAATCAAAACTTAATTCGTTGTGGATGAAGTTGACGCCATGTTTTCGGTCAGAGTCGACAGAGCGAGTGGTTTTCTCGTGTGGGCATTCATGAGATCGACCCCCTGTTTGTTTTTCACCCGCATCGTGCCCTTGCTGTCGATTTTGAAATTGGAATCTCGCGTTAATGCATCGCAATAATCATTCAAGGTCGTCTTCAAGAGTATGCCGCTTATGGTGTCACCCTGCATCTTGTTCATCAGCATCATCTGGACGGCTCGACTGGCTTTTCACATCATTTTGGAGTCTGTGAAGGACAAAGAGAAACTCATAGACAACTTGGGTCGAGCCATCGTCAAGAAAACGATCATCAAAATCAGCGACAAGGTGCTCAGCATCGACGACAGTGACGTGTTCTTCACTTATGTGGACCTCTTGAGAACCACGAGCATATGCAATAACATTGCGCATCAAGGAATTGGTCTTGCGAATCGTTTGCTCGAGCCAAGCTCGATAAAATACCAAAGCGGGTCAAAGAGGTCGCCTTAGCATACGGTTACCGGTTTTGCATTCTGCTCAACTTCGAGCTGCTTGAGGGGCACATACCGTTTACCAGACCGTGCTTGGCGACGGCAGAAAAACGGTAGATTCATGCTGGACATACTGGAGGAATATTATCCGGACGTGTTCAACCACATTGTCATTCTCTGCCTGACTTTCGGAGAGGGTGTGTTCGTCTCCCAGGTGAGCCATGGCTTTCTCGACGTCGTTGAAAGTGTGCACGGCGTGATGTTCTCGACAGAGTTGGTCGTTGATGAAATCCATTCACTGCATGCGTTGTTTACTCGGCCAAGCACAAAGTCCAGGTCAGATGCGGTATAGCGGGAGCTAGATCTACGGAATGGGTTGTACGTTTGCCATGAGTGGTGGCAGCCATCAACAACAAAGTCACTAGAATCGTTGGTAGCCCGTCGCGAGAAAGCATTACTGGAGCACAAGGGAGATAGCAGAAAACGTGCTACCGATCCAATATGGTCCATGAAAATGTACAACGTCGACCGAAGTCGATATCAAATATAGCTTAATCCAATCTGTATTATCTCAAAGACGTCCCGTGCCGAGGATTCGTGCAAGAGGAATTACAAGTTGTAGCCCGTGACACACTGGTAGCCAACAGCTGACAACGAGCCCATGTGTGTCAGCGAGGTGAGATATCGACCAGTCGTACTACCGAGAGCTGCTATCTGCTTAGTTTCAGACAGACCTTACCTGGCTACTTAATAACAAGTACAGCAATACGTTGATAGTTAGCCTTTCGCCCGACCGACCCCATGCTCACTAAAAGTGAATATTTCCTAAACTATTCAACCGATTTTCGTAAAATTTAGCACGTACCTCCGGTATACTTCAAGGCGTCGAAGGATGAACAGCCGACATTTCACATATTTCCGGTATGGGCGGTAGTTCGCAAAATAATCACTCATAGGGACCAGTCATCATTCCGCTAAACTACTGAAGGAGTGCAAAAAGCGATTGTGTGTAGCGGAAGGAGTGCATATAGCGAAAGTATTGCAAGCAGTGGAAAGAGAGTTAAAAGCGAAAGGAATGTGTGAAGTGGAAGAAGAGTGAAAAGTGAAAGGAATGTGCGAAGTGGAAGGAGAGTGAAAAGCGAAAGGAATGCGTGAAGTGTGTATTGGAAGGAGGGCTTATAGCAAAAGGCTTGTATGTAGCGGAAGGGTTGCGAAGAGTGAACGGATTCTGTGTAGCGGAAGATGTGTGAAAAGCAAAAGGATTGTTTGTAGTAGAATGAATGCTTACAGTGAAAGTATTGTGTGTAGCGGAAGGAGTGCTTATAGCAAAAGGATTGTATGTAGCGGAAGGGTTGCAAAAGTGAACGGATTCTGTGTAGCGGAAGGTGTGTGAAAAGCAAAAGGATTGTTTGTAGTAGAAGGAATGCTTACAGTGAAAGTATTGTGTGTAGCGGAAGGAGTGTGAAAACCGAAAGGATTGTGTGAAGCAGAAGGAATGCTTATAGTGAAAGTATTCTGTGTAGAGGAAGGAGTGTGAAAAGTGAAAGGATTGTTTGTAGTAGAAGGAATGCTTATAGTGAAAGGATTGTGAGAAGCGGAAGGAGGGCAAAAAACAAAAGGATTGCGTGAAGCGGAAGGAATGATTATAGCGAAAGTTTTGTGTGTGTAGCGGAAGGAGAGTGTGTAGCATAAGGATTATGAGTAGCGGAAAGAGTGCTAAAAGTGAAAGGATTGTGTGTAGTGAAAGGATTATGTGTAATGGAAGTAGTTTACAGGTAATGTACTGATTCATTTGTATTCGTGGTCTTGTAGGCATCATTATGGCGATAGCTTTCCTTGGACCAGCTGTTGCGCTCAGTCTTGGTGGATGGCTCAGTGACGTTCCCATTGATCTAAGCGGTTGGTTATGTGTTTGCATTAACTAGTGCATAGTAATTCCATTCAATCTTTTTTTACAATAACGTTTTACAAGGAATACCAACTCACGACTTTTTATTCAAATAAAGGTTTTGTATTTATGGGACTTACCCACTTTTTGTCTTACATTATTGGAATTTATGTTCTTCACGCCATATTAGCACAACACATTTTTATGAAATATATACTCCTTGTATGGTTTGGTTTCAAGAGTCCAAGTTAGACAGCCTTCACCCCCAGTGGATTGGTGCATGGTGGATCGGATACCTGATCATTGGATGTGCAGCCCTCTTTCTTGCTGTACCCTTAGGCTGCTTTCCAAGGCACATGAAGAAATCAACAGTTAAAGATATCGACACGACCAAGTCACTGAAAAAGGATATAGTGGGTGAGTTGCTGCTGCACCTTCTTTCTGAGTATGAAAAGTACCAGACGCCATGGTGTGGTACCTTGTAACATGCTTGTAATTACTCATTTACAATTTTCGCTCTGAAGTGGTACACTCTTCACAAAAAGAAACGCATAGGTGATTTTGAGAATATTGGACTCATGTAACTGCGGCAAAATCAATACAAATATACTATTTCTTTCTAAAAAAAGCGTCTCTAAGAAAACATGGAAAGCAAAATACACGTGCAAGTAGGAGGAAAAGCCTGCAATATTAGACACTTATAATGAACGTTGTGTTTCACTTTGTTATTCGTTTTGACCTGGAAAAGAGGAAATCATCATGTGACAACTGAGTGCCGCCACTCAAAACCACGCCACTGGCCGCCTTGAAGCCAGGGAGTTGCAGTCTGCAGTTGACGATTTCTTCTTCCCGAGCGAAATGGAAGACAGCATGTCTACCGTTGGAGAAATGAACGTTTTACCCCTAATCGCATTCGACAGGTCGACAGAATCGGTGGAGACAGTGTCATGGGGCGGGGGGGGGGATATACAGCACACACAAAAATCTGATTTAGTGGTGGTTCAGGGAAATTTGTTGGCAGATCAGAACATCAATGAAGTCTTTGTATGTCACATGCTTCTGATTATGGACCAACAGAGGGATTTGTTCACATACAGCACGCGTCACGTTCCGCTACCGTGCCAATTCTAAAGTCAGTGTCTTGCCATGGCCTTCCCGATCACCAGATCTAAACCCATTAGAAAACATATAGGATGAACTCGATCGACGTGTATGTCAACGTCAAAACACGCCTCAGAAACTCCCACAACTGGTAATCGCATTGCAGGAAGAGTGGGGAAGAATTCCTCAAGAGAGACTTATCCAGTCCGTCCCGAGACGATGCCGAGCAGGAATTCCTGCCAATGATGGTCATACAAAGTATTGACTTTGACGCCATCTTGTGCACTCAAGTAACCAGAAACACAACTATATTGGTTGCTGTTGTGTTAGCGAACTCTTTGTCAATAGACGTGTGAATTTTCACTATTGCAATTATATGTAATAATTGCTTTTAAACTAACACAATGAATTCTTCTAAAAATGGCTTGTGCGTTTCTTTTTTTTTTGAAGTGTATTAAAGGGTGCTGTACGGTTAAAATGGAAACACGTCTACGACATTAAGAGAATACTTTCCCAAAGCAAATTCCATGTGGTTATACATTGGACTTTCATTGACTGTTTGATCCAACACATACAAATGCCGCCATTTTCGGTATGTGATGTCTGTTACCCATCATCTCTCCACATCAATCGGTCTCTTGCATGTCTACCTTTGGAGAAATGAACGTTTTACCCTTATCGCATTCGACAGGTCGACAGAATCGGTGGAGACAGTGTCATGGGGCGGGGGTGGGATATACAGCACACACAAAAATCTGATTTAGTGGTGGTTCAGGGAAATTTGTTGGCAGATCAGAACATCAATGAAGTCTTTGTATGTCACATGCTTCTGATTATGGACCAACAGAGGGATTTGTTCCTGCATGACAATGCTACTTCACATACAGCACGCGTCACGTTCCGCTACCGTGCCAATTCTAAAGTCAGTGTCTTGCCATGGCCTTCCCGATCACCAGATCTAAACCCATTAGAAAACATATAGGATGAACTCGATCGACGTGTATGTCAACGTCAAAACACGCCTCAGAAACTCCCACAACTGGTAATCGCATTGCAGGAAGAGTGGGGAAGAATTCCTCAAGAGAGACTTATCCAGTCCGTCCCGAGACGATGCCGAGCAGGAATTCCTGCCAATGATGGTCATACAAAGTATTGACTTTGACGCCATCTTGTGCACTCATGTAACCAGAAACACAACTATATTGGTTGCTGTTGTGTTAGCGAACTCTTGTCAATAGATTTGTGAATTTTCACTATTGCAATTATATGTAATAATTGCTTTTAAACTAACACAATGAATTCTTCTAAAAATGGCTTGTGCGTTTCTTTTTGTTTTTTTTGAAGTGTATTAAAGGGTGCTGTACGGTAAAAAATGGAAACATGTCTACGACATTAAGAGAATACTTTCCCAAAGCAAATTCCATGTGGTTATACATGGGACTTTCATTGACTGTTTGATCCAACACATACAAATGCCGCCATTTTCGGTATGTGATGTCTGTTACCCATCATCTCTCCGCATCAATCGGTCTCTTGCTGGCATATCCGTTTATGGAAACGCCACACACAAAGATCCATTCTGAAGTTAGTAGCTAAAATTTGTCTTGTTCTATTAACCGAATTATTTCCGTTGTTCCTGCAGACATGCCAAGGTCCATATTACGGATATTGAAGAACCCAGTAGTCGCCTGTCTTCTCTTTGGGAACGCCAGTGCTTTGTTTTTTGTTGGAGGCTATTTCAGCTTTGCTCCAAAATACATCGAGACACAGTTTGCAAGGACGGCAGCTGAGGCGAACTTCATATTGAGTAAGGAGCAACGACAGTTTTATTGGCATTATGTTTTAACGTGTGCATCAGTGAGTAAGATGCAGTTTAGTTACATTGAGACTGGCATGTCCTATCTCCAGATGAAAGTTGTGTATTGTCTCATATTATGTAAACATGTCTCTCTAAGCTTTCTGTGACTGAATCCAATGCGAGCCGTGTAAACTTATTCATACATGTAAACAGGGGATCTCACATGTTATTTTCGGTTTAAAGTAGATGGATTCTTTATCTGTAAACCTGAAGGAGACACATATAAGGTATATGAACAGGGTTACATGATTGTTTAAAAGTGGTAACTAAAAAACATTCACTTTTCATCAACGTTCTCATTTCCATACCTGAATGTGTTGAAGGTATTCTAGAGCTGATGTGGGCGTTAGTGGGCACCCTTCTTGGAGGCATAATCACTAGCAGATTCCGGCTTACCAGCATTGGATGCATGAAGCTCACGACCATACTGGTCTTCAGTGCAACTGTCCTCTGTTCTCTCACATTGGTCTTTGGTTGCGACGAACAGAACATCAAAGGTCTAGGTGACAGCAGGTAAGAGGTGGTGCCCACGAGACCTAAACTATCGTACAGGGTGGTGAATTTCCCTAGACTTATTACTCGACGTAGGGCTGAGCAAATATTGAGTCGATTGACGTCCACCCCGACGCGCCTAAACAACCGTTTTTCGATCAGTGTCCACATGATGATGGTGATAGCTATATATAGACATATCTTTAATTAGGGTGAAATACCGTGTCGTGTGGGACAATTTGCAATTCCTTTCTGACAAACCCTCTCGGCGGCCCGTCTTTTAAGGAGCATAAGTTCGACTCGTCTTCATTGGTGTCGATACATTTTCATGGACCATATCGGATCTGTGGCCCGTTTTCTGCTGGCTCCTATATGTACGCCTGGCTGGTACAAGTACCTTATCAAAAGCACAAAATTGGTCAGGACTACCAGGATTGGTACTATCAATTAGCATTCCCCGCGCGCGCAAAAGTAGTCGAAAATTTCCAATTAGAGATTTGGTAGTTCCAATGTATAGCACTACCAACCAGCTCGTATACTAGGCCACTTTGACATAGATACAGCAAAACGGTTTGCAAATCCTAGCAGAATGTATATTGTTGGGTACACGGGAGGTATTCTTTTCTGTATCCCTGTTGGGACTATTTGTTTCTAGCTGTAAACTATAGACACCAGTCTATCTTTGTTTTTTTTTTTGTGGTGTTGTCTTTTCTGGACCTAAGTCTACAGAGAAGCAAGCTGTCTGCTTTCTGCAGGGCTGCAACCCCGCCCAGTTTTCTCTTTTCTTCTCTAGAAAGTATCCATATGTCGGTATTTCGATGTCTGTGGTTCGGTTCCCTTCTTCCCCCACTGGCAGCAGATACAATACAATTTTTGCTTTCCCTCGGAATGTTGTAGCGGCAAACTTTCTGCAAATGTATTTTCCAGGTTTGATATCTAGAAGTTTGGCTGTATCCTTTGGAAGTGAGGCTATTGCAGTCTCTACCACTATGGTTTGCATTTTTTCGTCCATCAGGTCGTTGTAGTCTTGGTCTATCTCTTCGGTTTCCATAGAAGATAGCTTTCTAGGATCTGGGGCAACAACTACAGCAATAGGATTCCAGGATATGGTTCTTCCATCTTTCTGGAAAGTTCTAGTGGGTTCTATGCGGATATGCAGGCCAACGGGGTATTCTTCATTGTTGCTGGCCGAGCCTCTCAGTATCCAACACGTTTTTAGCCTGTATTTGTCAGTAGTGGTCTCTACAAAGTCGTGGTCTTCTTCCAACACACGCTCCAGTCTTCTGTTTGCCCAAACTACTATCAGCACTTCTTCGTCTTTTTGCGACAATACCACTCTGCTGGCTGTTTGTCCTTCTAGTTGTTGCGCGTATCCTAGAATAGACCATGTAGTAGTTGCAACGTCTGCTATTATTTTTGTTTGTGTGTTTCGTAGAGCAGTTTCTACTTCTTTGCGAGCATCTTACGATCTCTTTGTGTATTCCTTTTTGTCTCTGGTACTATTTCTCCTAGTCGCTCCAGTTCTTTTTCTCTACGCTGCTCTTGTCCTATCTGCCGTGCTGTCTTTTTGCTTTCTAGGATAGCCCATGCTTCTCTTCTCCATTCTTCCATGCGTGCTGCTTCTTGTATTTCTTGCAATCGTTTTCCTCGATCCCTAGCAGATCCAGAATATACTTCTCTGTCTTTGCAATCTCTGGTACTTCCTGTAGTTGGAATTTGGAAGAAGCCTTGCCTATGGTGCTACATTTGGCTGTTCTCCATTCCCACTCTACTGTCTTGCAAGAAGGCAATAGAATACTTGGATCTGCTCCATTTGGATGTAGCTGGGTTGGTCTTCTACTCGCAGACGGTATCGTTTTGGCATCGGGATCCTTTGTATAGCAACGTAGTGGGCCTAGCTCCACACCAGTATCTGTAGGGGAGAGTATATCTACCCGAAATATTGGTCATGCTCGGAAACCAAAATCTACTGCAGCCCATTCTATCGCTTTCTCCCATGTACCATCGTCGTCTGCTCTTGTAGGAGCAATACGGACCCCAGAAATTCTACCCGTCTCCGAATGTGCATACCAAGCTCCGAATATGGTGCCCTGTGGGCGATCTGCCAGAACAAGACATCAGTCTAGACATTTGGATAGGTTTTCCCATTGTTTTGCTGGTGGTTGTACTGCAAACAAGTTGGTGTCTGGAGGAGATACAATCTCTAGAGTTCGTTCTACCAAATTGTTTGCTATTTCTTCCGAGTTGTGTGGATGTGCGTAGAGCGAAACTTCTATGCGAGTACAACCACAGGCTTGCACGTCTGGATGCAGGAAAGTTTTCCGCAAATGTTGGTTTGGGCAGTCCACACAGTCTGCCAGATGTCTACCGATTTCCTCCCGGACTTCTCCTGCTCCGAAATTGGAAACAACCTTGTTGTAGAGTTTCGTTCGCATGGTATAGCCAATCCAGGTGTCGACCCAAGTACAGACATGGGCCCCAACACTATCCGTATTGTCTAGAATTGTTGGACTGTTCGACTGCATAGCAGAAGACAATTCTCCTTGCTCTTGGAAACCATGTTTCTTCCAAAGGTATTCCACCAGCCGTTCGCGGTCCAGTACACCAGAGAAATCTCTTGTATAGTCGATAGAATACAGCCCATAGCTGAGTACTAGTAGTTGGCGTTCTAGTTTTGGAATCAAAGTTTGTAGCTCGCCGATGGGTATTTCGGAAACGTTTATCTTTGCTACGAATAGAGCATATGCCTTCTCCTCCGGATATAGTTCTTGCCCCTTGTCTTTTGCTTTCTTTCCAGTTTCTCTCTCTATTCTAGCGATGGTGCTCCGTTTTGCTCCACAGTTGTCTTCTCGTATTCCTATCGTGTGTAGGATATTTGTTTGCACACGTTTTGGGTTCGTCCAGGACTCTTGTACAGCGATGGAGATTCTGGAAACGCCAAGTTGTGTGGAACCTTCCCTACCAGTCGTACAGGATACTTTGGCATTCTTGGCATATCCGACACAAGATTGCTGTCTACAGTAGATGTGCTCCTACAGACCTTTCGACCCGCAGGCCCATAGTTTGGAAAGTTGTTTCAGTTGCCATCTTCTACTATTTGTAGTTTATACATTGGAACTACCAAATCTGTAATTGGAAATTTTCGACTACTTTTGCGGGGAAAATGCAAAAAGGTAGTACCAATCCTGGTAGTCCTGACCATTTTTGTGCTCTCGATAAAGGTCTAATAAAATACAAACACGATGCTCGTAGGTAGTCTAAACAACGTTGAACACGATGAATGCATCGCTGGACGCTGAATTTTTTTTTAAGAAGCCACCATCCTTGATTTTACAATCGGCTTTCATCAGCTTGGAAGGCACATAAGCTATTTATAGCTTTAATGCACTGACACCAGCAGAGCCAGTCTGCTGGTGTAAAGAGGAGATGCTGGATTTCGGATGCTGAGTTTTGGCGTTCGAATCCCTCCCGTTGCTGTAGAAAAATATATTTTATTTTATTTTTTCCAAAAAAATACTTTAAAACAAGGACGCATTCCACGATGCTCACACAACCCTTCCACCATAAACTTATAAGCTGCATGTGCGGCAGAACCACCATTGTACTACTACTAAACTCGACCTGCTGTTTGTGCCATTTGACCTACAATGTCATGCATATGTAGAGTAGTTCAAGTCAAGCTGAACAAGCTGTAGTTACTGCATCCAGGGTAGGGTTAAGGTGACAAAGATAAGTGTCAGGGCTCAAATAACCAAAACATATAGTTTCTTGGTGAAAAACAGGTAGATGCCAGTTGTTAGAACCAGAACATTGAGAGTTTGAACTTATTAATTTATTACGCACTGTAGGTCATTGACATTGTAAATTCAGATACTGTAAATCGACAAAGTTCCCCGTCGTCAATGTTTTGCATGATAAACAACCCAGCCAGTTCTACGTCTTGTTTGTTTTGCGAGTCCTCTTCGAAGTCCAAGTCGAATTGTTGACAATATATTTTAAAACCACACCTCCCAAACACAATAGCGATGTACATTAACACTCGCTGGCCGCCATGTTTGATCACGCGATTTATCAATGTAAGTGGGGGGAACAATTACAATGAAAAGATCAAAGTGTGCTTATACACTTATCACTTGACATACTTAGTACATTGTGTTAACTCAGTAATTAATTAGTAACTCAGTGTCGGAATTAAACACCTTTAAATGGTCAGTCAGTCAGACGATTATCATTTCACAAAATGTTGAAGTTTGTCACCGTAAAGAAGCGCAGTGATCCTGTTGTTCCAGGACTACCCGACCCTTCTTTAGCTGAAACGCCAGAAAAAGCTGCAAGAATGACTGCAGTAAACAAGGCGATTGAAGAAAGTATGAAGGGAACACTAGACACAACTGTAACAAAACGTGGTGTCAAACTGAAACGTGAGAACAATCACTTTTCTCCTGGGACTCGTGTTAAGATTGCAAAATATGCAGCCGAACACGGTAACACAAGGGCTGCTAAACATTTTAGCACTTTAATGAACAGGAACATTGGCGAAAGCTCTGTAAGATTTATGAAAAAGTCTTACTTGAAAAAGAAAGGTGAAGATAAAACAGCAGAAATTCACCAGTTGCCATATAAGAAGATGGATCGGCCACTGCTCCTTGGAGAAGTTGACAACCTCGTCAAAGATCACGTGATAGGCATTCGGAACAGTGGGGGGATAATAAACTTTTCCATTGTTATTGCTGCAGCAAAGGGAAAAATAACTTGTGACAACAGATCTCTTCTAGCTTAGAATGGTGGCCCTATTATTTTGAACAAATCATGGGCAGAGTCGTTTTTGAATCGATTAGGGTTTGTAAAAAGAAGGGTACAAAGGCTGCGAGAGAACTCCCGGACGATTTCGTGAAACAAAAGGACGAGTTCATTTCTGGAGTGGGTGAAATGGTCACCGAATTCAACATTCCCCCAGAACTTGCAATCAACTTCGACCAAACCGGGGTTAAGATTGTCCCAGTATCCAACTGGACATTGGCGACACAGGGGTCGAAACAAGTGGGGATTGAAGGTCTTGAAGACAAGCGGGATGTGACAGCGGTATTTGGAAGTACTGCTACAGGTGAACTCCTCCCACCTCAACTCAGCTATCAAGGAGTGACAGAGGTGCCATGCCCAGGTCAAATTTCCAGCTGATTGGCACGTGACACATACAGCCAATCACTGGAGTTGTGAGCAAAGTATGTTAGGCTACGTTGAAAACATACTGGTGCCTTGTACCAAATCTGTCAAGAAGAACTTGAAATTGCCTGTTAGACAGAAACCCCTTTTGATTTTTTATGTGTTTGCAGCGCATCGCTGCGACGCTTTTTTGAACTTGTTGAAGCAGCGACATTTCGTTTGGAGATTCATTCCGGCAGGATGTACAGGAGAGTTAAAGCCAATGGATTTATCAGTTACAAGCCTATTTCAAAATTGCCATGAAAACCTACTTTACACAGTGGTATGCTGAGTGAGTTGCCCAAAATTTGAAAGACTGTGTTGACAAGCGTATAGACTTGAGAATAAGTGTGATGAAACCTGTTCACGCACGATGGATCATTGCAAGCCTTGATTCTCTCAAGAAAAAGAGAGAGGAAGTCGTCCGTGGCTGGCAAACTTCTGGCCTTCTTGACATTGTGACAAAGTGAGTTATTGTTACTGTTATTGTTGTGCATTGAATGTGTATTATTGGAAATGCTATTATGCCACTGAAGTCATTGAATTTCTTAGAGTAATAAACTATGGTGCCCAATAATGTCTTTGTGTTTATTAGAACAATAGCGATATGGCCGCCATGTTTGATCACGTAAACATGGACCGGGGATAATTACTTAAAGGTCACATGCAACCAAAAAATCAAACATAATTAAAACACAATTATCACTTCTTCATGACATATAATATGCATTGCTGATTATGAAAAACAAATAAACAAAATTATAAGCGAATGATCGCAAATCAAAAGTGCAATATTTTGTACTTGGGTTTACCTCCCTCGAAACGAAGCAGCCGGGATACCGAACCCAGTCAGAGCGGGTGGGTGTGCGCTCAAGTGTAGCGGCTGGTTCATTAGCAGATGACGCCTTCATGGCTCATTGTGTGTGTATATATAGAGATGTTGGGTTTTGTAAATACATGCTCATTTTTTTGTGTATAACATTTTGCAATCAACAGACATCATAACATGTCATGTGTTCAAGTATCACACCTGCCTGTCTGTGTAATTACATAATGTGACAGAGACCGAACTCGGGCCATAAATCAATGCGTTTTGTTTATGGTGTATAGCCTGATTGGTGTTAAGTTCAAATTGCATGTGGTCAGTGATCGCAGTTGTGTATTGAATATTGTCATTAGCAGACAGGCAGGCAGACACACAGGTGTCAATAAAACAAGACATTGAGTTTTGTCTGTGACAACGACATATCTATATCACAGTTAGAAATTGTGTCAACGCTAAATAATGACATTGCTTTTAAGTATCGAACTGAGAAAGTGACTCGGTAAGAAGAACGTGTGGTGAAATAGACAAATGAAATTATATAAACAGTTAATTTACTGTCATAACATATAAAAAAGCTCGCGCCTGTGAGATATCAACAAAACATTAGAAAAATAGCTCACACCAAAGCCTTCACCGAGTATTCACCGGACAACCCGCTTCCAAGCTGCGCAAACCTATTTCACTGCGCACATGCTATGAGCGCAGCCCAGCTGTTGAAACCCGTTTTCCCCAGAAAAGTCTGGGGAAAATTAGTGAAACGTTTGAACTCCGATTTCGCGCGTTTTTTCATCGCGTTATTTTTCAACTTTATATGTTGAATTTGCATTTTGACGATTTGTTTTGGTATGTCGTATGTTGTTTCAGAATCTGCAAAGTTGTGTTTTACGTTGCATGTGACCTTTAACAAAATGAGAGAGGTCATTACGCCTGGAAAGTTTTGCGCCTGCAGTTCATTCGCAATACTAGCAAAACTTTCCTGCCCGCAAAACTTTGTCGATTTACAGTAGTCAGGTTCATAGATTACATAAAGGAGCATCTGACATTTATGGCATGGAATATAAGTTGTGAAAGTTTCTTCGTGGATTCTTCATGTTAAGCCTATTCAGTGTCATATTTTCTTTGGATGTCTTTATGGTCACAATTAACATAACGTGGTATTCATTTTCGATGTAACTGTGTTATCAGGTTACAGAGAACCAGGTTACAGAGTCTTTGGTCTCTCTTGACATATTGATATCTGACCATTTCAGTTTGGAGTGTATGAGAACAACGACGGTAGCGGGAGAGTGCATTACGAGATTTATCAATACAAATATTTAAAAGAAATTTGATTTGAAAGAGGAAGATGTACACGTATTATGACTATATTTCTGAATGCTATTCTTCTTCATGATTATATTTGAATCTTGATATATATTCAAATACATACAGGTTCGGATATGAAATTGCTTGTTATTTCCCAATATAGCCAATACAAATTAATATACGGTATCTTTGGTCTTGGAGATCCAATTTATCTTGTAGTTTACAGCTTATTTAAACGAACGATCATAGTTCTTTCTTAATATGATGGGTTGAATACAGCATACACTTACATTTTCTGAATGTATGCTGAAATATATTCTGAATTTTGTTTTCAAGATAATAAAAGGTATACATAAATACCCCTGCAGTAAATAATTCTGTTTCAGAAATCCCATCGGAAACGACACTGTTTGCAACTGTGATGCAACGGAGTACATGCCCCTGTGCGGAGTTGATGGAGTGACATATATCAATCCCTGTATGGCTGGATGCAAGTCTCAGAACGGTACAGTACGTATCTCACTCCCTGTGTGGTTCTCTGTATGTCATGATGCCAGTCTCAGAATGGTACAGTATGTATGTCACTACCTGTGAGGGATGCCAGTATGAGAACTGCACTGTGGGTATCTCACTCTTGGTAGAGCGACATGTCACCTCAGAATTGCACTGAGAGTCACAGATAGTTGGAATCTAATTTCATCAGTGTTTTTTGGATTATTCCAAGTTAAATACAGATAATGCCCCGGTGTCATTTGGTTTATTTTTTATGTATAACTATTTGATATCTGTGTTTTATGCTGGCTTTATTTCAGACATACATGGGGTGCAGCGAGATTCCTGGTAACGAAGGCACAGTGGGCAAATGCCCAATAGATTGTCCCTACCTTTATCCCTACGTCATCGTTGACCTGGTGTCCGGCCTGGCGGCGACAATTTCCTTAGTCCCTGTCATGCTGACACTAATGAGGTAAATGCTTTTAACACAAACACACACGCACGCACGCACACACGCACACACACACACACGCACACACCTGTTACCGTTAATCAATGTTTACAAGAATACATATGACATCAGATAAATACAAAGCGATTTAGTCCCGATATAGTTCAGTAAATTAGTCCCCCTCCCTACATTGTTTCATTTTATATTACATGAATCATAATAAAAGCTATTATACTTTATCTGGGCACCTGGGACACATCTATATGTCTAGAAACGCACAGAAAATTATTATAGCTTAAGCTTAAGTTGGTATGTAGCCTTATAGATACTTATGCTGGAAAGCACCACCACATTGATGTGTTCACGGATACTTTCGTCTTTGTCCAGTTGGAGACAGCTGGTGATGATTACCATGACATGGCACCTCACTGTTCAGAGAAACACACAGAAGTGAATGTCATTGATTCTTTGTTATCCGAAGTATCAGAAACACAATAACTTTCCAACCAGTTAAACTGTTTCATCTCCTGTTTGTTTAACGTGCTATGCAGCAACAGTTTTTGTGTGTAACTGTATTTTATACTTTAAACATGGTGAGCGAAAAGGATTTGTTTTCAAATAATATGGACACTTGAACATGTAGAATAAATTCCTTTCCTTTCGATGTGAGTGTGTGCAAAATGTATGATTCACATCCTAACGTTTACCTAAAAAGCAAGCATGTTCATGATGTACAATCCATATGTGCGATCGTGTGTCCATTCAACAAACGTCTTAATGTCATATAACATAAACCACGTTTCTCAAATTATATCATAAGTTATGTTACATATCACTTGAGAGACTAAAACCATTCAATGTGTCTTTTATGATCAAAGAGTCAGTGACAACTGGACGCTGTTAACTGTTAAAACTGTTTCTACATCTGCCACCGATTGACTGCTGAGCATGCAAATGACGGAACTGGAGTTTGGTACCTAAGTTTCAGAACTGAAGTATGGTATTTCAATCCAGAACTGAAGTATGGTGCGTCAATCTCGGAACTGAAGTAAGGTACTCCAATTTCGGAACTGAATTTGGTACCTCAATTTCAGAACTGAAGTATGGTACCTCAATTTCAGAACTGAAGTGTGGTACGTCAATTTGGGAACTGAAATATGGTACTTCAGAAGTGTGGTTCTTTTTAGTTCAGAACTGAAGTATGTTATTTTAATCCACACTGGAGTATGGTACTTCAATTTCATTCTCCGTTTCAAGTACTTTTCACAACAAGACCTTCTTTTCAATTTCGGAACTGAAGTATGGTATTTCAATCCAGAACTGAAGTATGGTACGCCAATTTCGGAACTGAAGTAAGGTACTTCAATTTCGGAACGGAAGTTTGGTATATCAATTTCAGAACTGAAGTATGGTACATCAGTTTCAGAACTGAAGTATGGTATTTCATTACAGAACTGAAATATGGTACGTCAATTTCAGAACTGAAGTTTGGTACCTCAATTTCAGAACTGAAGTATGGTACGTCAATTTCGGAATTGAAGTAAGGTACTCCAGTTTCGGAACTGAAGTTTGGTATCTCAATTTCAGAACTGAAGTATGGTACATCGATTTCAGAACTGAAGTATGGTATTTCATTACAGAACTGAAATATGGTACGTCAATTTCGGTACTGAAGTTTGGTACCTCAATTTCAGAACTGAAGTATGGTACGTCAGTTTCGGAATTGAAGTAAGATACTCCAATTTCTGAACTGAAGTTTGGTATCTCAATTTCAGAACTGAAGTATGGTACATCGATTTCAGAACTGAAGTTTGGTATTTCATTACAGAACTGAAATATGGTACGTCAATTTCGGTACTGAAGTTTGGTACCTCAATTTCAGAACTGAAGTATGGTACGTCAGTTTCGGAATTGAAGTAAGATACTCCAATTTCTGAACTGAAGTTTGGTATCTCAATTTCAGAACTGAAGTATGGTACATCGATTTCAGAACTGAAGTTTGGTACCTCAATTTCAGAACTGTTGCATGGTATTTCATTACATAACTAAGGCATGGTACGTCAATTTCGGAATTGAAGTAAGGTACTCCAATTTCGGAACTGAAAGGCTTTCTTCAGAACCTCACTCACACACACAATACAGGACGCCATCAGCTCCCGCAAATTCTATCCACAAGAATATACCCAACAATTCTGTCAAGAATATATAAATTCGAGGGCTCAATTTTGTTCTGACAATAGAGAATTCTTGGCTTTCCAAACTCCATGCAGAACACATGCCTTTGAACTGCCTTACAGGTTTGGGCAGAGGGACTAAAGGGTATACAATGAGGATGAACAAGTGTTGGCCTCCTCTACATGAATGGGCAGACTCTTCATTTGTATTTGTTCTGCTATCCATTCCCATTAGATCTCCGTTGCAGCTGTTCAACCGGATGCAATATCAAGCACATCGAGTGGTATACTTTTTCAGGACAGTCTCGAAAACAAATAATCCAGTAGTGTTTTAAGTCATTCAAAGACGAAGGTTTGTTTGAATTCTTGAAATATTTTTTGATAAATATAAACGTTGTCTTTAATGAGTGAGTATACTTGGCCTTTGTTGAATGGGCCTGGAAATTTCAGTGAACAAGGCTACACTTGGACCAATAGAAGACATGATCAGAAACTTGTTCTGACTTCCTGCTACCAGACACAAAAGCAGCTTTTCCACGCTCAACAGCTTAGATTGTACTCCAAGGTTCCAATCGCAGCAAAGTTTGTAATAACCTAATGCTTAACTGCAAATTCCTTCAAAGCTGCTTCTCAAATTTTGACTACCCTTGCGAATTCAAGCAGGTGGAAATTTCATAGGCAGTGGAAATGAGTTTGTGCCATATATTTATAAGAGGATATTTTGTCGACACGATTCGTTAAGGATTCGTGTCCATTATGTCCTTTTAACTAACTATATATTTGATAATTTAATTACTTTGACTGATAATTTGATTATTTTATTCCTATAAAGAACAGTGCACCCGAGGGACAAATCCATGGCTGTGGCTATATCGTCTTTCCTAAGTAGTTTTGTCGGTAAGTAAAAGAAAGGCATAAGGAAGCTGCTCGTGTTTGCTTGTATTTAGCTACCACGGAGCTAGATCTTACTCTATCAATCCCACGATGAAAGCAGGTGGAAGAGACTTAAATCCTCGGAATACCAGCACATACTTGTAATGACAGTATATGCACATGAATCGAAACAATATCAGTCCAAGCTACTACTTCAGCATCCTTCTTTTTGTATTGTAATTATTTGTGTCATGTAGGTTCCATTTAAACATATAAGAAATGAAACTCCAAATATATGCTACATCTTGGACAGTCTGTCAAACAAATTGACTCATTATATGTACGTATATGTAGCAACTTGTAAGGTTAACTGGAATGTGAGTTGGAATGTATATAAAGTTGAGAGTGTATATTCTGATGGCGATAATTTATTCTATTCCCCAGGTTATCTTCCATCACCTATTGTTTATGGAAAGGCCATTGACATCACGTGCACTCTCTGGGAAACAACGTGTGGTGAGGTCGGCGCATGCGCAGTATATGATATCCCAAGACTACGATATCATGTGAAAGGGATGGACACAGGATTTCAAGTACTATCGTCAGTTGGCTTCTTTGCAGCTTTCCTTTTACTGAGAAATGGGGTCGTTAAGGAGTATTCCGACTCAGATGCACCACAAACCCAACCTAAAGAAGCAGAAGATACTGAGAAACGTGATGTTCAGATTACACGGTTATAAAGATCCTTCCAGACGGAAACGAAACTGTGTTCCTTTGGGGCGTTTATGGAATGAATATGCTGATTACTCCAATAACTAAAAATGGACCAAATACAAAGACAGCAGTATTCCTGTAGACTGTATAAATATAACACTCTTCAGCTACATAGGTTAAAACATCAAGCCACTCTTTAAGGAAATTCTAAAAGGAGAGAATATACGTAGTAGTCATTAATGTAATATAAGAAGTTAATTGGGATGTACAGTAACAATGTGGCGATTATATGTAGAAACCAGTGACAATGGACCAAATCCAATAGACTGGCCATCAACAACTCAAGCAAGACCCGGACATCGTCATTGTTCCAGCGGGGAAGGGTAGGGCCACTGTTGTGTTAGACCAGCCCCACTTCCACTCCATGGTGGACAACCTGCTGCAGGATTCAACTACCTACAAGAAGATCAAGAAGGACCCAACCAAGAAACTTAAGATACACTTTGATAACTATGAAATATCTGTGGACTATCTTTTCACATTTTCCGTATCCATACGCACGTCAATGACTTATGGACTAATTAACATGATGAAATTATGTTGATATTTTATCACTTGATAATAAAAGAGCTTTGGTCGTATGTAGCATAAAAAAACAACTCGTTCCCATTCCTTATCTGCATTAGGTCCTTGGTGAAATAAATCGTCCTGCAACTCACTAAAGAAATTAACATATTCCACGCGGGACATAAACTTGATTAGAAGTGGGAACGAGTTTAATACTTTATCACTGTATTTCAAATAGGATAGGATAGAAGTGAACGACAGGTTCTCCTGGTTTTCATTGCGAGATTAACCATATGTAGTGTCCCATGCCAACATGCCCATAACAGGTCGAAAAATACCACCAACTAAGATCAGATTTTATTAATCGCAACTATTAATCAGTGCTACAGTTTGTATGTATTAGAAGCATTATCACACTTTTGCAAGTATAAACAGCACAAAATATATATAAACAAGATTCATATATGTATAGCCAAGAACACATGTATATGGGTTGTATTTCTGGGTGAGGTAAGTATTTAGTCAAAGATACACTGTTCCTATATACAAACTCAGTACAATTTACAAACATTAGACAAGGAACGTTACTCCAAACCAATCCGAACGATTTCTTATAGACTTTTATAGTGACGCTATATATTGTTTTAATTCACTGAGGCCTCGGCAGCTGTTACATTTCCATTTCCGAGTACAGGAAGCTCGTCACTCGCTTGGAATATTCCGTGGAGACATTCAGCATACGTCATCATTTTGAAAACGATAGCACTAAATGTTGCTAAAATGGTCCATTTCAATTACTGGATGCGTGTAAAAAACAGTGTTACACTTTATCATCCAATCATAGCAACCAGATGGTGCAATCTGTAATGAAAACTCCCTTCGAAAACTGCTCGTTAAATGATTTTACTTTGGTGTAGTAGACTGTAGTGATTTATACATGTACAGGACACGCGTACACACACACAGGTATATACTGATTAGATGCACTGACTATGCTACAAGGGTTAAATGGTGTATATTTCATTATGTATTTCTGCATTAATAAAGATTTTATGGACACATTATCTCACACATACTATACTTTTTATAAAAGACGAAGGTGATGGATCAATTTCATACATGTCTGAGGCTGCTTAGATCATACCAACCAAACATATATTTTCAACGATGAAAACATGAACAATTCATTAACCTTTAAAACCAGTAAAAATACATATTTCAGATTCATTAATGGTCTGTTGGTTTCCTTTGCCTGACATCATGAAATCCCAGCAGAGTAAGCCACATTCATGGAATATTGTTTTGACACTTATGACATGACTGACTGACTGACTGAGTATGGTTTTACGCCGCTTTTAGCAATATTCCAACAACATCACGGCGGGGGACACCAGAAATGGGCTTCACACATTGTACCCATGTGGGGATTCGAACCCGGGTCTTCGGCGTGACGAGCCAACGCTTTAACCACTGGGCTACCCGACCGCCCCTTATGACATGATGTGATGGAGACTGTTTAAGGTTTGTTTGTATAATCAAACATTCAAATGAATCTCAGTGTTTGGTAAATCATCATGGGAAGGCTAGCAGAAATGTCTGTGAATTCCCAAAGTAAATAGTTTTATCAGCCTTGATATAAGCTAGTGACATCAATCCACGTGGAGAGGAATCAACGTTGGACAAAAAGCATGCAATTCAGGCCAGAAAAATGGGTGTGGTCACATGTAGAAGCTTATATGACATATGAAGGTCTGGATAATGAATTTTACCTAAAATCTTAACGTAAATGGTCGGAATATGGCCAGCAGTCTGAATCACCGACTCATGAACCATTCCACCTGTTCAAGTCTAAGAAGGGGCGGCGGAGTAGCTTAGTGGTTAAAGCGTTCGCTCGTCACGCTGAAGACCCGGATTCGATTCTTCACATGGGTACAATGTGTGAAGCCCATTTCTGGTGTCCCCCGCCGTGATGTTGCTGGAATATTGCTAAAAGCGTCGTAAAACTAAACTCACTCACTTAAGTTGAGGAAGGGAAATGACCCATGAGGCAGATGAAAGATCTTTGAGACCACTGCCTCAAAGGAAATTACACTTCAGTCTATTATCAAGCTAAGACTTTGAAATACTCCCCGGAAATAAAAAGTACTGACTGTTTACTGTTTTTAGGTGGATACACTTGCCAATGTCACGCATGTGCCAGTTTAAAGGCACAAGTGAGTGAGTGGGTTAACGTTTATAGTCACAGCGGCAGTATTTCAGTCATGTCGTGACCCACTAGTATATCACGGTATCAAGAATTAAACCTAGCGTCTGTCTCTAAAATAGGATTTCAAATTAAGACAAAACAATATAAAAACGGGCTGAGTATCGCCAACAACTGAAGGTAGATCATCATACCAGGGACCATGTGGACCTTTGGTACCTGCATGGACCCTAGCTGGATTTACACCATCCCCTCAGCCACTGGCAATTGCACTGATATTTCGCCATTATAAAACTCAACGAATATTGAATCAGTTGCTTCATTGCATGTTCCAACATGTCGTTTCAAGTACCCATTAAACACACAGAAAGTCGCATTTACCTTAGAGTATAAATGACCTCACCACGTTAAAGTTTATATATGACTATCAGATTTTAGGGTGTTCCCATACTTTTTGTTTGTAGTATATTCTTCGCTTGTATTCAGTATTGAGTGTGTGCTCACAGCACTAGATAAATGAATGCGTGTTTCGTGATGGAAGCCCTACCCTTGACATGTCAGCGTTGAGGTCCCCAAGTATAATCGTATCACCTCGTACACAGAGAGCCGATATCAAGCTGTTAGTTAATAAAAGTCGACACATATAACATACCTATGACTTGCTCCAGAGAAAACATTGGGTACAATTCCACCATTGTATAAAATATATAGAATCAAGTTGTAGAGTTGTAAAGGCATTACTTTGATGCGCGTTATGAGCAAGTGATATGTCTGTATAGGATGGAAGACTGTCGTAACGGGTTGGAGATATAACTGACCTACATTGTAACGTGTTTAACTGTGCAGCTGGTGTAACACAAGGGAACGTCCCCAGTTCGCTGTATGCTGGGTAACAAATTATGAATTGGTTGTGAAAGGGTGATTCTTTTGGGCACATAGTATTATACTGTTCTCAGACAAAGTAAATATTTGAAATTGTTCTTTTTCGAACATTTGGTCCCGTGAACAAACAAAAAATATGGATTAGAACAGTTTATATGTGGACGACATATACAGCTAAGTACACAATCAATTCATATCGTTCATTTATATGTGTAAGTCAAGCCCCCGCTTAGGTTAACCTCATTAAAGTCTGTGACTTGTCACTATAATAAGGCAAACACCAATTTAGCTGTGTCATCTCAGTTCGTTTAACGCCATGAACCTATAATGAACAATACCAGCTGAAATCTTATGCACCTTTCCATGTGGGAAGTTGCTTTTGATACAATAAAAAGACAAGCATACAAGTATATATCTAGTCCATGGTGTACATCTCCAGCTGCTTGTGATGGGAGATCTGTGCCCATTAACATGCCTGTATGACATATCACACTGAGGGTTGACAGTGTACTATGTAGCGTGTATATAGATAACCTGCACTATACAGTTTTTCTCGACCGACCAGCAGTTCTAGTTTATCACCTAAAGACCTCGGTAGGCGACTAGCTAACTATTTACATTTTTCTCGCTCAGCTCATGACACGTATTGTGAGGAAGGTCGTCACGAATGTGACTTTGAATTACATTGTAACACATCCACAGACATGTGTATGGATCCACTGATTTCAATGGAACATATACAGGAGAAGAAGTGTGTGTAACTCCCAAGTCAGGCGACCGGAAAGCGCTAGAATGTGAATTCGGGTCCGTCCAATTTTGTACTTGATAAACCGCCATGGTCATAGATGATGTCAGGGTTTGACATTTCGTGTCTCCAGCTGGATAGTTTATAATTCAGTTTAGTAATTTAGGTTCGTCTTTACGTAACAAAAGTTCTGCTGTTACAAAGAATGAACTTCAAATGGAGAGATACTGGGATCGTTGCCTGATTTTTCGCCGGACCCAGTGTCGTTTCAACTGATGGTTGGAGAAGTAGTGCAGGCACTTCATACACTCTTCAGTTGTTTCTCGGTCAGTTCCCTATTGATGTGTTTTCAAAACAACTTTCACACACACGCTCTTCGCTCTGTCCTACATCGACGTACATTTGACTTTTTATAACACTAAACGTGTCCATTTTCTTGAAACATTACCTCCAGCAAGCCTGAAACGTTCGTTGCTCTGGCTGATAAAGTTACCAAATGCATAGTTAATCCGGTTTTTGCTTTAATTTTCATACCCATTTAATGACAAAAATACGTTTACAATTATGACAAAGAGATCATTTTCAATCTTCGGTAGTTGGACTATCTTACATATATCATTGAATGTTCTTCTTATGTCCGGGACGGTGGGGTAGCCTAATGGTTAAAGCGTCCGCTCGTCACACCGAGGACCCGGGTTAGATTCCTTCGATCTGCAGGTGCTGGCGTCACTACGTTGACGGTAATCGGAACTGTTTTGATGTAATAAAGATATTGCAAACGGAAGATCGTTCTGAATGGAACTGGGAATGCATTGTCAACAACCTAAGCACTCTGGACAGCATTCTT